CCTTCAGGGGAAGATCATCTACTGCCAGGCAGAGAACAGAATCAAAGAATATAAGAATATGATGGCAACAAGAGAAAAAGAAACTGTCTAGAAAACACCTTCCTTCATTCTTAGGTGATGGGGTGGGAGGGTGGTGGTGGTGGGGGCAGAGAGCTGCCAACACCACATCACCTTTTTAAATGGTAACAGCCAACTCTTGGTTATGCAGGGTGTTTGAGGACTGCAGGAGTCCTAATGAGTAAGAGTGTAGCTCAGGTGGCCACCTCCAAAAAACACATACTGGAAGACAAAACCTTCTTGGCATAAGGTGTTCCACACAAATGGGAGTGAGGGAATTCGGGCTGTCATACAATGGACTATCATTCTGCGATAAAAAGGATGAAGTACTGATTCATGAGACCAGATGAATTCTGGAAACAAAGGACCACGAAACCAGACACAAATGGCCACATTCGACTCCTGACTATTCCCAAAGGGCATATCTAAGGAGACAGTATATCCGTTAAGCTGACAGAATAAGGTTATGGATCACAAAAGGGTACCAGGGGTCTTTGGAAATGGTTCCCAAAGTGGTTGTGGTGCTGACGGCGCAGCTCGGTATGCTGATGCCCTTTGATATGGACGTTTTATAAAAATTAAGTTCTTACATTTAAAAACTAACGTTAAGGCATGTGTAGTGGTGCACGTTCTTAATTCCAGCACCAGAAGTGGAGAAAGGAGGATCAGGAGCTCAAAGCCAGTCTGACCTATAATTAGACTGTCTCAAGTATTAAGGGTTTTCTTTTTTCCTGTGTAAAAACTAGTTTTGCAGATTTTAATGGAAAGAACTGCTTTTCTCTCCGTCCGGCTATTCTTTAGCTTCCTAACCTAGAGGCTGGCACCCAGAATCAAATCTTCAAGTGGTCCTTCTGTTACCTCAAAGCGCCACTCGAAAATAAACCCACAGTAAATGCAAATACGAGCCTTAATGTGCAGGGACCTGCAGGCCCGTTCTCCGGGGCTGGCGGCCGCAGGGCCCTGCAGAGGAGGGCGGCGCGTGCGCACCGCGGCGCGCAGGCGCAGGCCTGGCCGCTGCTCCGGGTGAATTTCTAAACAGCGGTCGCCGGCGGCCCCCACGCGGGGAACGAGCGGCCGTGCCTAGGGCGCAGCCAGCTATCGCCCGCGGCTAGCTGACGTACCTGTGTCCGCCTCAGGCTCGAGGTCTGCGGGCCCGGGGGAACGGCGCCTCCGCCGCGAACACGCCTTGACTCTCCATTTGGGGGGTGGGGATGTTTACTCGCAAGTCTCGCGAGACCACGCGGCTGAGGGGGCCAGAAGCGGCGGCCTTTCGTGCCCCGCGAGCCCGCGACCTGCGTGCGCGTTCCTGAGGTCCTGGCACCAGAGGTGAGAGGAAGTCCAGAGATCTCGCGACGTTTGCGACCTTGGGGCAGGGGCGGGGCTAGCTGCGGGGGACACCGGTTCTTGTAGTTCGCAGGGCTTGCTGGCCAGGAGAGTAGGGAAAGAACACGCACCTTTGCGCAGCTGAGGGGAAGGACTGCTATCCAGTTTGTGCGCATTGCTTAACTACCTCCATAGCCCCAGCTTCTAATGGCCAGGGACTATGGGTCCTGCTAATCTACACATCATAGTCCCAAAGGCTGAGAGCCTCTGATAGCCTGGGTCTATGCGCCGATCTAAACTAATCCCCATTGCTGTTCAGATGACCCAAATCTATGCGTTCTCCTGAACTGTCCCATGGCCACAGCTGCCAAGAGGGCCTCTGATGGCCTAGTTTATAACTACTGCCAGGGGCATCTTGCACCTTGAAAACCAGAAAGGGCGTTTATAACGCCAGATATTTATCATTTTAAACAGTCAATATAAAAGTCTGCCTGGCAAAATGTACTTGAGCGATTTAGACACCAGAAGGATAGGCCTATTCTCGGTCTTAATTTAGTACTGAGTTGGACCACAGTTGGCCCTGGCAAAACTTAAGTGCGGGCAGCAAGCATGTTCAGGTAATGTGAAAGAACAAGATAAAAAAGGGTGGAGGAAACAAGCAAACTTGGGAGCCAAGGAATACCACAGGTCACAATAAGCATAGCAGCTTACAGCCCTGCTCTGGGAAAGGCTTCCCCAGTTTATCAGCTCTTGGAGGATGCCCCCTGACCCCTGGCTCCTGCTTGCAAAGGAAAGTCTAACCCAGACCTCATTCAAGACATTAGAAGGGAGGAATCCAGGAGGGTGGCTCCCCTCTGACCGACAGTCAGGTAGCTGGACAGCCCCAGTAGGAGTAGACACGGGGGTTTATATAGGAAGTCTTAGGGGGCAGGGTTTTCCAGGGAGATTTCTAGGGTAGTGACTGGTCGGAGTTCAATCCCTAAGCTCAGACTGACTAGATCTCATGCTCATGGATTGGTTATTTTTCTGCACAGCTTCAGGGACAGATTTGACTCTGGTTTCAGGGCCAGAGTGCATTTCTTTTACTGATCCTTTTTAGCCTTTTAGCTCTAATTTTAGGGCCACGGTGTATTTCTTTCACTAGCTCGGATTCTAGGGACAAAGTGTGTTTCTTTGGCTCTGCTCTGGGCGAGTTCCTTTAGCTGGTCCTCTTTCCTTACACTGTGCAGGGCTCTTCTGCCTTGTAGCTTGGGTGCTTAGTCACGGCAGTTTGGAGGTGAGAGAGAGGACTTGGACATTAAGAGTTCACATAAATCAGGTACGGTGGTACACTTTTAATCCCAGCACTCAGGAGGCAGAGGCAGGTGGATCTCTTGATTTTGGGGCCAGCCTGATCTTCAAAGTGAGTTCTGGGACAGCCAAAGCTACATAGTTAAACCGTCTCGAAATATTGGGGGGAAAGGAAAAAACAGAACAAAAAAAAGGCACACTACTCTTGTAAAGGACCCAAGTTTAGAGTCAGCACCCATACTGGGCAGCTCACAACCACCTGCAACTTCAGCTTCAGGGGGATCTTAAGTTTTTGGCCTCTGTGGGCCAGGTGCCCACATATGCACAGACCCACACAGGCATACAAAATTTTAAAAGGGAAATTTTGAGGTAGACGTGTGGTCTGTGGATATAGCCCCACACCTTGAAAACAGTATACTGTTTGTTCCCAGGTTCCAGTATATCCCATGCAGGGCCCATCATGCAGGAGATGCTATGCAGAGACCCTACTGTCTGCCCATTCCCAAGAACTTCCATCTTGCTCTCTGCCTACACTCCCTACTCTCCCAAGGGTGTCAGTCACTCTGCTGCCTGGATCCCAGTAACTACAAGCCTCCTGCTCACACAGGAAAAACAATAAGTTGATGGTATAAAGGATCCGTTAAACCTGCTTAGAAAATATTAAGTTACATGCAGTAGACTTTAGCTAAAGGAATGCTCAAGGCTGAACAGTGTGCTTACCAGACCATAGGACAGAAATGTTTGCACCTTGAACATAATTACAGATTAGGTTTGCCCAGTGTTTCTATTTGTTCACTAAGATTGCCACTTATTAGGGCCAAAACAAAAGGAGACACTGTGGCTCACAGCTAGCCATCAGGAATATTCCCCTATCAAAGAACATGCCTCTGTTGGACTGTCCAAAGAGACAGCACTGGGTCACAGCACCACTAAATCCTGGTTCTCATTAAGTCTAGGTTCTCTTACATGGAAGAGCAATTTTCTGCCAAGCAGGTGGGATGGCCCTGGTTAACACGCACCTAGGGGCTGTCTCAGGAGAAGTGACAAATACTTCATTGTATTACCTAGAGCCAAACTCTGGAACTGAATTGTAACTGTGAGCCCAGAAACTACTGAAGCTGATGGGGATTTCTGTCCTGCTTCCTTTTTCTGCAGTAGCCAGAACCCACTGGGAAGGCATATCGAGCCTACAGTATGCTCTTTATGTAGTGTTGGATGTTATAATCTTGAGAGGACTTCAGATGACATAGGACCTGTGCCATTACATGCTAACCTATTTCATTTGATTCAAGGAACTTAGGCATCAGCAGAGTTTGGTGTCCACGGAGCTCTCAGGACTGATTCCACACAGACACCAAGGGATAACTGCTTAACAACCATGCGAGCACACAGTTGCCAGAGCTGTCACTATTCAGTACTGAGGGTGCTGAAAGTGCATACACCACTCTCCCACAAACACATCAAAACTCAAAGCACATAGGAGGCACTGACAGTCCTAAGTCAGGGACTGAATCAAGTTCACTGTGGGTAGGTAAGAGTAGAGGCTGAGGGCACTAGGCATCAGGTCTGAGAAGACACCACCAAGCCTCTAGAGCTCATATATAGAGAAATTTTACATCACTGAGGTAAGCAAAACAAAAATGGCTGATCAGGAGGCTGGAGAGACGTTCAGCGGTCAAGAGCACTTCCTGCTCTTGCAGAGGACTTGAGTTCAGTTCCCAGCACCTACACCAGGTAGCTCACAACCACCTGTAACTCCAGTCCAGATAGCACTCTTTTTCTGGTCTTTGTAGGTACCTGCACACTTGTGGCATACACTCACACAGATACAAAGAAAAATAACATCTGGGCTGGAGAGATGGCTCAGGACCCAGGTTCGGTCCCCATCGCCCACATAGTATTTCATAACCATGTGTAACTTCCAGTTCCAGGGTATCTGATGCCTTCTGGCCTCCAAGGGTATCTGCACACATATGGAGAATATGAATTCTCTCTCTCTCTCTCCCCACACACACACTAAATCTTTAAAAAAACTTCAGAACTATATCTGTTCTATTTTTTCTTCCTATTTTTTAAAAGCTACAACTGATTTTGTACCCACAAAACTGAAATGGATCATGAGTCACCCCACCATCTCTACACTGCCAAGTTCCTAACCCATCCTTACCTACTCAGCCATCAGAAGAGCAAGATCTCTTGGGGGCTCTGCAGGCAGTAGGCACACTGGTGTGCCTTGTTGTTTAATCAATGACAATCATAGGTGTTGACAAGTCAACTTCTGCTCACTGTATCCACAAGGGGGGGGGGGACCCCTTCATGGCAGTGACACCTTCTGAAGGAAACAGTGATGCTTTTATTGTTACATTTCAATTCACAGGAGAAGTTACAAAGGCTCAAGTTCAGAGCTCCTCCTTCACTGGTAAAAACAAAACATGTCCACAGTGAGAGGAGTAACTCTCAGCAGAGGGGCAGATATAAGAGCTAGAAAGCCTAAGGATGTCTGGTTTGTGTCTTACTGGAGTCATGATCACTGTGCTCTGAATCTGCACCAATGATCAAGTTCTAGCTGAGTCCTGCTGAGGAGCCATTACTGACAGAGTGGCCCTCTTTTTAATCACACAGCAAGGACTCCATACTTTTCCTGGCAAGTCTAAATAATGAACCATGGAACCTTACACAGAACTCACAGTGTGTTCCTGCAATGGTTTTTGTTTCCTGAACCATGGTTTCACTATGTGGTTCACGACAGCCTTGAGCTCCTGAGCCCCCACCCCCATGGGATCATGCCTAATGATGTTTCAAGTGGAGTTGCTGTTGCTTATCACATATTCAGAATTCTCATAGAAGACTACAGCAATGCTCTCCTGCCACTATCTCCAAGCATTGAGTTCTGCACATGTTTTGAAGACATAATTGAAGACCGGAAGAACTTTAGGATCTAACCACTGATCTTCCGGATCCCAGTCACAGCTAGAAATGCTGCAGGTGATACTGTGGGCAAAGTGCACTTGGGCCTACAGGTGATGGAATGTCACCTGAAATAATTCCACACAAGTCCTAGCATTTCACCCATTTTCATTTCCCAGGTCCAGAATCAACGCCACAGTGTTAAGTGCCACATTCCCCCACTCCACCATGTAGTATCCTCTACGATATCATGACTTACATGTGCCAACTACAAAATCCTTACAAGTGCTTGATTTTCTGAGACAGAATTAAACACAGTAAGTTTCAATGCTCACCCATATTGTGGGAGTTTGTGTAAATTATCTTCACACCAATAAAAGCATTTGCTATAGTGTACACACTCATTATACAGGCCAAAAATGAGCTTCTAACATCATTTCCACAATACCTCATACCACACACAAAAGTTGCTCATATTTTAACCACTATTCCACAAACACTTGATGATTTTATCAACAATGCTCCTGGGATGGAATTGGATTACATAGAAAAGTGTATGAAAACCATCTATAAGCAGCTTTGAAGGGGTCAGTTACAATATGGATTACAGAGAATCACTACATAGCCACAACAATTAACTTAGAAATCAAAAGATAACCCATTACGTACCCCAATCTAGGAATGAAACCCTCCCATAGAGTAGAAAGACAACAATACTCAAAGGAAGCAGTGTCCACATGGTGAGCCCACGACAGAGTCGGGCAGGCTTTTACCATGTGGAAAGGAGTAACCCAGACTTTTATATGGTAAGGAACCCCATTTCCTCGTCCTGACAAAGTCTCTATTAAATAAAGTCATATCAGTAACATTGCTCAGACACACACACACAGCACATGGCATACACATGGTTCTAGGGAGACAAAAGAGAAAGGCAGTGTGCACACACACATGCCCTCACTTGGAGCAATGTGATGTGACACACATATCTACTACTAACACCACTTGCACTCACAGTTAGAAAATAACACTTTTCTGTTGTCATCCTGATGAACATTATTATTATTTAAGATAGGTTGTAATTATGTATCCCTGGCTGGCCAGAAACTCCCTGTATAGCCCAGACAAATAGAGAGAGCTGCACCTGTCTCTATCTCCCCATTGCTGGAATTAAAAAGACATAGCCACCATGCCCAGCCAGTACTATAATCACCTATAAGAGGAAAAGGTGATTTCCCTTACAGAAACTGGCCAGTCACTTTCTAAGTGTTAGGGAAGCCTTCTGTTCTGTTCTTAAGCTTCGTGGCTCTGTGCCCTGGGCCACCTATGTGGTCCCTGAGGTTTTCTCACAGACTGAAAGTCGGCCTCGTGAAAGATGGCAACACACTAGGTACTCAGTAAGAGACAACACACAGGTGAACTAAATTTTCCAAATGCCGGAATACTGCAGGTTGCTGTGACTTGGAGAAACTTCCCCTGAGCGTCCAGATTCAGGCTTGGTGGGATAAGGCCTCTTTCCGTAGGGAGCGGTGGAGAAGGTTTGCTCCCCAAACCCAGAGCCACTCAGGCATATACTGTGCAAAAAGAAACTACAAATGAAAGAAAGAGGGAGATGTAGTTAGAATCCCAAACCATCAAAGCTGAAGAAATAAGGTTACAGATCACTGTGGGCCCTAACCCAGTTAACAGACAGCTACTGACCACATTAAACAACAGGCACTCACCTCAGTTCATTCAAATTTGCACAAGGACACAATGCCCCATCGTGATGTCCACCAACAGCACCTATTCCCTTTCTGCAAGGTACTGGGAACATATGTCCTAAGTAAAACATACTAACTCCAAAGCGGAGCTACATCTGTACTATCCTGGACAGGTTTCATCTAACTCCAAGGAGGGGATGCAGCTGTGCCACCCTGAACAGGCTTCACTTAAACCCAAGGAGATGAAAAAGAGTCTTGCAAGGGTCCCTTAGGAGGACCTGGGAGTGGCTCATACAACACCATGGGCCCCTGAGACAGATGAGACCCTGGGAGTCCCTTGGTGGTACTCGTTATGTGTGTTTCAGGGTTTACTTAGTGGGAAGGGAGCCAAGTGGAGTCAACCAGAGAGCAGTTTGCCAGCATGCCACTCAAGTGCTGGCTCTCTCAGCAGCTGTCTGTAAGAGTGAAGGGAAGAGGAGTGATGAACTTTATTCTCAGGGTGCAGACATGTAGCACTGAAGCTTCAAAGGCACAGTCCTGAGTCAGGACATCTTCAAAATGGCCTTTAAGTTCGAACTGTACTTTATGATGAGCATCCCTGTCCATCACTAACCTCTGTAACCTTAAAAAGAGCATGAGCCAACTCTATGAAAATATGTAGAGCCTTCCTGAATAAATCCCTACGCCCTTTGTTATAGGAGACATTGCTCCAGAGACAATGCCTTTACTCTTCTTACCCTCTGCAGGTTCATCTTGGGTCTTGGCTATGCTACTTTGGGCTTTGCACTCATCTAGCTAGAAACTCATTGCACTCATTAGACATGGAAGGACTGAACCACTCTGAGCTGGGGTCAGAGTTTGGGAAGCAGAGGTACAAGAAGGGGTTTCAGGCTCTTTAAACTCTTTAGAGGTTGAGTCATGTCAAGGGTGCTGACCCATCCAGGCTTAAGAAAGCGGTGATCCTGGGGCAGCAAAAACCCAATAATGAAGTTCAGAAAGTCATCGGAAGGCATTGGCACTCTCTCTCTCTTAAACTTTGCTATTTTGAGACAAAGTCTTGATAAATTGCCCAGGCTAGCCTTGAACTCACTCCATAGCACAGGTAGGCTCTGCAATCCTTCTGCCTCATCCTCCAAAGTGGCTGGGATTACCAGCTTGCACTTATGTGAAGAATACATTCATCACTTGTCCTCGAAGCTGCATCTCTAAGGGGGCTTCAAGGCCTTGGGGCCACTTTCCAATTTTTTGTTTTGTTTTGAGAAAAATGGTCTCACTACATAGGCCAGGCTGCTCCCAAGTTGAGATCCTCCTGTCTCAGACTCTTGACTATTGAAGAGATGGCTGGGCTATCACAGCCAGCCTTAAACTACTTTTCAGGTTTCTCTGCTTAGTTCTCAAGTAAGTACAAACTCAGAAACGGCTGCTAATACAACTTTTTAGACAAACCTATAGCTCTGAGCCTATGGACGAATATAAGAGTTATCTGCTGATTTGCTCACATTTATTTTGTGGTGGTAAACTAAATTATCTTTATACACAACAGCCCCCAAAGTATTTAACTGGTAATCAGAAACACCCAGTAAATTCTAATCTGGGAACATGTATTTATATTCCAGATAAGAAACAAATTATCATATATCATTTAGTTATTGCCCTAGTGATTAAAAATCACAATCTTAAATATTCCATTAAGTTCAAATATTTTTCTTTTTTGATTTTTGAGACAGGGTTTCTCTGTGTATCAACTTTGACTACCCTGATACTAATTTTGCAGACCAGGCTGGATTCAAACTCACAGAGATTCGCCTGCCTCTGCCTCCTGAGTGCTGGGGTTAAAGGCGAGTGTCAACACACCCAGCAGAAGTTCAAATATTTTTCAAAATATTTTCATTACTTATTTGTGTGTGCATGCACGATATGGTGTGTGTAGACATCTGAGGACAACTAGTGGGAAGGATTCTCTCCTTCCAGCACATGGGTCTTGGAGATCAAACTCAGGTCACTAGACCTGGTGGCAAGTACCTTTACCTGCTGAGCCATCTGGCTGGCCCCAAAATACTCTTTTAAGAAAATCTTTGTTTTGTCTGAAAAAAAAAAAAAAAAAACTTAGGAAAAATTCTAGGTTTCCTGAGTAAATGAATCCAAGAATACATGAAGATTTTTTTGACATGATAGTTATGTGCTTTTGGCCCTATCTTAGGGTTTTCTGAATTGGGCTGTGCATATAGCTTTTCCACTTCAGACATCACCAAATGAACTCCCTATTCTCTGTACTGAAATCCCTACTCAAGCTCCCAGTATCCTCACATTCCCACACACACTGAAGCAGCCTGCTTCATGTCTTTTTTTTTGGGGGGGGGAACATGGGGGAGGGAGGAAACTTAAAAACTGTTAATCACCACACATGAGCATCTAGCACTGTAAGTGAAATCACTGGGAATTCCTAACCCTTAGTCCCTGGCATGGCTCACAGAGTTTTTGACCTGATGGCAAGGGGCTACCTGAATAGAGTGGGACCAGTAGCCTGTGGTCCTTCTCGAAATGCCCAGGGTCGACACAGCATGCTGTGCATACACTCTCGGCGAAGGTGCCAGCCACGGGCATCTGCGCAGGAAGCTGCCAGGTGCAGTCACACTGGTGGTCACGTAGAAAGGGATCAGACTCTGCACGAAGATCCCTTTAGAGGCATACTCATACTGCAGGGCTCTGCTGAAGTGGTCCAGATAGGCCTGGGGAGGGAGGAGGGCAGAGGAAGAGTACTTTGAACCTATAAGGACCTTGAAAGAAAACCCAGGAGCAAAAGACCTGCCTGCCTGCCTGTTCCCGTCTCCAGGAAAACTTCCAGCATAAGCAAATGAGAGCTGGCTACTCCCTGACTATCCCACAGAAAGAAGAGCCTGACCTTGGATGCAGAAAAGGCAGCTAGCTGTGGTGTAGGCTTGCAGCAGGAGCCGGAAGACACTGTGACAATGGCGCCCTTCTTTCTCTCCACCATTCCCGGAAGCACTATATGGACCATCAAGCTTGCAGCCGCAATGTTCACATTCACAATGTCCCAGAGTGTGTTCTCAGGAAGCTGGGTGAAATACTGGGGGTAAGGGTAGAATGCACCCATGTCATTCACCAGGATGCCAATGTCAATGTCTTTCAGGGCTTCTCGGATTGAAGCATAAATCTCCCGGCCTTTGCTGAAGTCCACCACCATGACAACTGTCTCCACTCTGTAAGTGTCAGCTATGTGCTGGGCCACAGCCCGCAGCTTTTCTTCTTCCTGGCTGATCAGGATGATGTTGAGTCCATGGTTTGCTAACTCCTCAGCATAGGCCTTCCCAATGCCATCTGTGGCCCCTGCAAGGCAAGCCAGGAGGCCTGAGCATGTTGAAGCATGGTATACTTACAGAGAACCACAGCTACTCATTGTCGTTCTCATCAGAGAAAAACATACACTGGAGGGAAAATGTGTAACATCTGTCAGTTAAGGATTATGTTCAATTGATAAGATGAATCATAATGGTAAAGATTCTCAGGCAGGAACTAGCAAGAGGGCTCAGTGGGTAAAGGTGCTTACTGCCAAGACTGATGACCTGAGTTCAAACCCTAGGCCCCATGTGGTGGAAGGAGAGAACTGACTCCCAAAAGTTGTTCCCAGACCTTTTACATGAACACATGGCACACACGCGCGCGCGCGCGCGCGCACACACACACACACACACACACACACACAAATGCATGCTCTCCAAGATATCCTGATGGACAAACCAGGTGCTGCTCATACTCAGCTCAGCCCACTAGAGAAGGGCACTATGTAGAAATCTGCTTCTAAACTTGACCCTGGCTTGCTTAGGTGTCAGGATGAGGTTTCTGAGAAAAGGAGATAAATCACAATGCAATTCAAAACAGGTAAAGCAATTCTGAGAGCTTTGAGAACCCCAAAGGATGATTTCTAAACAGAGAGCAGAAAAGATATATGAGGGGTAGGAAGGGGGGTGGCTGGGAACAGGAGCTGGAGTAATGAGGGGATGCCTCTGAGGGTAGGGCTCCCTGAAGTGAGGTGGGAAGAGCAGGCAGAAGCCTGCAGTTAAATTCTGCAGCTCCTTGCTGGAAGCACTGACTTAATAAACACAACCCAACCAGAAAGACCACTGGAGCTGAAGTCACATTACCACTGACGACGGCCCATCTTCCATACTGCTTGATGAGGTCGGGCCTGCTCCCCAGGCGAGGGATGAAGTGCAGCCTGACCAGGCTGTAGAAGTCACAGATGACCGTGATGCTCTTTCTGGCTGTGTACCAGGCTCCCACCAAGGCCAGTGCTTCCATATAGCAATTGCAAGACCTGGCGATTTCCCTGTACAAGAGGTAGAAGCTGTCAACCGCAGCCATGGCAACCTGCAAGGACAAGAGGAGAGTGAACTGCACTTTGTGGACAGAGTGGACCTCCTCAGAGGGAGGAGGGAGAACCCTCGCCTGCCTTCGCGACTCTATATTCAAGTAACAGTAACTCCTGAGAGCACACAGCCTGCTACTGTCACATGATCTCACTGTCTAGCACCTGTGGTTTAGGAAGTTCTTGCCTTCCAAGAGATTATTCAATAGAACTATTCAGTCACCAAATTCCTCCAAAAATCTTGACTCTGAACTACAAGTAGCTTGACCAAAAAGAAACATGAGTGCCCTACTTCCAAGCTGCAGGAGGCACAATTATCACTGATAGCAGCTGGAACGTGTCCAGCTCCTGGAATTGGTCAGTCAGCAAGTACAGAGACCTGCTACCTTGACAATGACAAGTAAGATAACATGCTTATTAAATAAAAGGAGCACTCACTCCCAAAATGTAAGGAGATGGTGTCCTTTTACAACAGCACAGCAAGCACCCTCCCTTACTAACTTGGATTGCCTGGTATTTTCCCCCTGGCCTCTAGGTATGAGAAAGTCCCACACACCTCTTCTAAGTGTAAACACAGCAAACACTAAAGGGCAGACACGTGGCAAGTATTGTGACAGGTGGCAAGGATCCAAGACAAAGGCAGGCATTTAACAATTAAAATACAAGCTCATCGGAGTATCTTAGTCTAAAGCAGAGGGGACCCTGGAGAAGTGAACAGAGGTCAGGCATGGTCTCGATGGCATGACCATGGCTAGGCTCCATCCTGGACAACAGCAGAGGAGCCGCTGTGGTCAGATCCAGTGTACACTAAATGGCCAGATGAGCCCAAAGGCTCACACACATAGTAAGACAGCTGAGATTACACACAGGAAACTAGTCTTTAAGTACTACCCCCTCTCCCTCAAGAAAAGAAAATGTAAAACTTGTGGGAATGACTTTTGGAAGGGAATCCATTTAATGTGAGAAGAGGGGAGTCCTGGAAACAGTCAACACAGTGGCAAAATGGTACATACAAGCTTTGGGGAAGGAGTGGGTGCCCTCTGTGTCTACTGTGAGGAAATTCAAGCTCTATCAAGTTTTGCAGAGGGAAGAAAGAAACAAAGTAACAACCAAGCAGAAACCTGTGAGCACACTGCCTCCCGAGTAAAACACACAGAGAAGCCTGAAGAGAAAACTGAGCAACTGCTGTGGGGCAGCTGAGATTCCACAGCCACAGACAGAAGACGCATGCCAGTAGGCTGCAGTGGCCTTAACCACACAAGGCATTTCCCCCACCCAGTAAGTTCCACACTTCACACAGGGCAGCAATCAAGCTGATGTGACAGTACGTTTTGAAAGCTTTTCTTAACCTTAGATATTGATGTGTACACGTAAGTTGGGAGGCTGAGGAAAGGGGAGTTCCAGTTTAAGACCGAAAAGCTGGGCTATTAAGTAAGACCTTGTCTCATATATATATCCAGGTGGTGGTGGTGAACACCTTTAATCCCAGCACTCGGGAGGCAGAGACAGGTGGATCTCTGTGAGTTAAGAGGCCAGCCTGGTCCACAGAGCTACACTGAGAAACCCTGTCTCGAAAACCCAAAATAATAATAATAGTAATAATAATAATAAATAAAATACATATAAAAATAAAAAAGTCAGACCCCAGTTGAACCTATGGTATATGCCTTTAATGCCTTTAATCCCAGCATTGGTGAGGCAGCGGTAGGTGGATCTCTGTGAGTTCAAAGCCAACCTGGTCTACATAGTAAGTTCCTGACCAGCCAGGGCTACATGGTGAGGAAAAATAAATAAATAGATAAATAAATAAATAAATAAATCAGGCCTATGGCCAGATCTGTAACCCCAGCTAGTGGAGAAGCTAAAGAGGGAAGATTGAAGTTCAAAGCAAGCCTGGAACTTAATGAAAAACATCCAAGGGGGTGGTGGAAGTGTGGCTCAGTGGCTTGTCCAACACGAAGTCCTGGCTACAAGCACCAGCACTGCAAAGAAAGGGGGTGGGGGGGGGAGAAAGGGAACAAAGGAGGGAGGGAGAGGAGGGGGTGATGAAGGGATGGCGCTACCCTCTGCCCTAGGTTTCCCAAGACTCTGAACACCAGTGAAGCAAACCCAGTGGAAGGCGCCTAACCTCAGAGGGGCTCTGTTCTCCTCACTGTGGGCCGCCCGTCTTCTCTCTGCTGCCTGCTGCCAGCTCTGTCCTCTTAGATGCAAGCTGTGAAGGGAAGCTAACAACAGATAAATCCCCAGCTCAGCTGGGGATACTTTATGCAAAACTAAGATCAATGCTTTCAAAACAAAGCAAACTTTTAATGCATGAGTCAGCAGCAAAGCAAAGAGTACACGCCTGGGGACAGTCCCCTGGCCTTGGAGGTACAGTGAAGAGGACATTCCTTCCTTGTCCTGACTCTCTTCTTCATCATCAGATAGGACAAAAATCCATCCAGGTGAGCTTGGGGAACAATCTGTACTGACCTACAGCACCTGAGTCTGGCAACTGCCTGCCCACATCAGGGACCAGCTCTGGTCCCTCCACCTACCTGTGGAAGGGTCACCCTCTCTGAAGACTACCTTCCCCAACCTCTTGAACTTTCCACACGAGCCACCCTGTGTAATCCATGCCCAAAGCCTGGTAGATTCTGACTGGCCTGCTTGAACCCGGGTGCCCAACACTTTCTCATTCCCTGGCAGGAAGGAGGACTTAAATTGGGGGGGGGGGCTTGGCAGGATTTTCCATTACCCCTGGAGTCCCTTCCCCAGCTGGCCACTGTCATGAACTGCTGAGACAGTGGCCCCACCAGCTATGTTGTGTTGCTTAGAAACAGGCGCTGGCAGCCATGGTGCCCTGGAGTCTTGACATGAGAAAACACCAGTCAGCCATTCCTCCCAGCCAGGCTAAGGTGAGATCTGACTCACACCCACCAAACTCTCAGAAGCCCTGTGGAGCCAAACACCAGATTTATGAATAAAGCACAAAGCCATCAAAAGACCTAAACGGATGGTCACTGACCTGGGTGGGGGAGGGGGTGGGGCCTTACACAGGAAAGTGTGCATGAAAATTAAATTATTCAAACAGGGCTGAAGATGGCAACTCAATGTTCCAGACCAAAGAAAAGTTGAGAAATAAATCAGGACTCCCCTGGGCCCATGTGCCTGGACACCCACAGAAAGATAACTGACCATCTATGAGGTAGGGCATTTGCAGGACTGCTGAGGGAGGGGGCAAAAACAACACACACAGATGAGTAAGATCCCTAGGACTAAAAGAGGACGGCTGTCTAGCCTGCCCCCACTCCAGGCACAGCCCTGAGGCATGACTGAACATTCCCATGTGTCCTTCCTTGGGGACAGGAAGGTCAAAGGCAGAACGAGTGGTATGACCACAGTCTCCACAGGGTCACAGTTAAGACCTGTGAACGACTCTGGCGGGCAACAAGAGTGAGGACAATCTTCCCTGGGGTCTCCAGAAGGACCCTGCTGGGGACTGTGACTTTGGTTTAGTGAGGTGGGCTTTAGTCTCTAAATTACCTTTCTTACCTTTAGAACTACAGGTAATAATCACTTGTTAAGTCATGTTACAGAAGGAAATATGGTAGACACAGGGGCAGATATTGGGAAGAAGGGATGGCCAGACAGATAATGCACTGTCAGTCTGGAAGACACTGCAACAGGCCCTCAGCCGTAACCATAGTGTTATCAGGAAGCTGAAGGGTGACTGTGTGACCCTGCAGGCTGGGAAGGACTGACAAGGCCTCCTGACCCTCTGTAGCCACTGGTGTGGTGCTCTTGTCTGGCCCTGGTATGTCCACTGAGTCTGTCTTGTACATAGAACCCTAAGTCATGTTTGGCCTTCTAAGCCAGCTTGTATTCAACCAACAGTCTTGAGGAGCAACCTCCTCCAGCCTGAGGACCCCTCTTCTCCTGTCAACCTAGCTCCACCCTCTGCTGCTCTGTCTCTAACACAGTATTTCATTTCTCTCTGACTTTTCAACTGGAGCTCAGGCCTCCAGAGGTCAGGAGCTGTGTCCAAAACCAATTTCTCCATATTAAATTTTTTTTTAAAAGGGCTGGGCATAGTGGCACATTCCTTTCATCTCAGAACTCAAGAGGCAGAGGCAAGTGGATGTCTGAGTTCAAGGACATCCTGGTCTACAAGTGAGAACATGTCTCAAAAACAAAAGTTTAAAAAGGAAACTAGAAAACACATTCCAAAATTTAAAAGCTACTATGTACAGCTCAAAGGAAAACAAAACACCTACCCAGTGACCAGCCCAACAAAAGCAGCATCCAACAAGTTCCAGGACACCCAGGCTTCCTCCTTATCCCCTCTTCTACACTGAAGGGCATACCCTCCTGAAAGCTGGAGTTGGTTTGTTTGTTTTTGAGGCACAAGCTGGCTTTGATCAGTGTTGTGAATGCTGGCATCACAGCTTGTACCCCAAACCAGCTGCTCTGGCTCTTTCTGTTCTGAAACACTCCACAATGATGCTGAGTGCTGCCTGTTTGAGTGGTTCCTGAGGAGTCCCCCAGTGTCCTGAACTGACCTGCACCTTCCTCTTCCAGAGTCTTCATTACTGGCTGAGGTCACAGTTTCGATGTAGGTCGTGAACCCCCACATACAATTTCTGCCCATGCTACCCACCTCTCCACCCAGGGCCACCACTTGAATTCTTAGTCACATCTCCTGGGCACTGGTGCAGGGGCATGCCACACAGTGGAACTCTGGGCCACAAGACACTCAAGGGTTCCACCCTACCTTGCCAACCCTTTCCACTGACAGACCTGACTCACCTGTCTCAAAGGTGGGTGTGCACACTGCCTCCTCTGTGCCACCTGCAGGAACACCCAGGAGTTCACCCTCAAACAGGGTGTGTAGGGGTGGTTAGTAATAGGGCCAAGACTCCTCTGAACTGTCTCTGCTACTGCTTCTCTATCTCTGAAATGCCGTTCCCATCGTTTGCCCCTCTTCCTACTGTATCATCTTCTTTTTCTCTCAGAATGACAAGAGTTCTTGACAGAATCTAGACACACACTCTCACTGCTATTTCTTGCTAGCATTGTTGATGAACTAGATGTTTCCAGATCCCTTCCTTTACTAGCAGTGCCCATCACATTTTACTTCATGCTAAAACCCCTGGCGGAAATTTCCTTACAGTATTTTCTAGAAGTTCTTCTGATTTAAGCCTGCAATCTTGGATTTAGTAATGGTGGAAACTGGTTTTCCTGCATTCAAAATGCTGTGTATACAATACTGCCTTAGTAAATACAATATTGCCCTAGTATATACAGTATTGCCTTGGCAAATCCCATCAGATACTGTTTGTGCCAGAGCTCAAATTTCACTCAAGAGAAAAAAAAAAAAAAAAAAAAAAAAACCCTGAAACTTTGTATCAGCATTCTGACAAATTCTCTTACAGTGTCCTTTGGTAGTCCTTATCTTCTTCTGCCTATTTTTGATCACTGATTGAATCAGCAGTGAGGTTGAGGGGGAAAAATAGCCACATGGGAACCAGAACTCAGAACTCTTACCCAAGATCCAATACCCTGAGATCCAGGTCTCTACTCAGGCACTAGGAATTAAGGCAACAACAGTCCACTCCTAGGTACTCATCTAAAATAACTGAAAATGTTTGCTTACACTAAAACTTTGCAAAGTGGGTTCCTATCAGCCTTACTCAAAGCAGCCGAAAGATGAAACTGCCAAAATGTCCATTGCGTGATGATCACAAAGTGGCCCAACCACGATACACTGGAATATCACTGAGCTCTTAAAAGGAATGTGGCATGAGTGTATGCTTTGGTGTGAAAATGTGAGGCTGAGGGAAATCCACAGACACAGAAAACAGATTAGGAACACTGACTGGGGGCAAGATGAGCCCAAACTGCAACTGATGGGATGGAATTTCTTTTGCTGTGGTGGGAGTTATCTGGAACTAGAGGGGTGACAACAGCCCAGCACTGTAAATATATTACAAAGTGCTAACTTGCACATTTCAAAATGGCTAAAATGATGGATTTTGTTATGTGAATTTTGCCTCAAATGATACATACATACACACACACACACACACACACACACACACACACACACATATCCGTCCACTGGTAACTGGAAAGATGGCTGAGGAGAGTAAGTGTTTGCTGTGCAAGCCTGAGGACCTGAGTTGAGATCCTCAGTAGTATGTAAGAGTGGAAAACTGTAGAACCAATTTGTAACCCCAGTATCGGGAGGGAAAAAAGCAAACAAGAGAATCATAAGGGGCAGTCAGTCCAGCTAAAGGAAACTATGGGTTCACTGAAAGACATTTTCTCAAAACATTAGGTGGAGATTAAGAGACACTGACCTGTGGCTTCCACGAACACACATACATGCAACACCCTCCCCCCATAACATACACACTCTGCTAATACAGTAATGTTGAACTCTACTTCTGAAATATTCCCAGAATGACTAGGGCCACTCTGAAAAAAAGATCCTGCCCTTGGGGATTAAGTTACAATACAACACACCTGTAAAAAGGGCTAACACTTCCCGGATACAATGAGAATTAGATAAGGTGATACACAAAAACACTTAAAACAGTGCCTTTCCCAACCAATCAATAAACCTTAGCCACTAGCCATTAGCCACTAGCCAGGGTTATTATTCAGGGTTCGATGTTAACTACCACTATTTGTACTGACCCGATTTTATGATAAAACTTCTAAGCGTGTTATCCCTACAGCCTCACTTGAACCACTCCTTCAATCTCACGAGGCAATACACATGAGGAAAAGGATGCAAAGTCACATCCCAGGATGTAACAGCTAAGACCTGAGACTAAAGCACGCTCAGAATCCTGGCTGGTGGTTCATAACACCCCTCCCCCCGACCGGCCCGTGGGAACCTGTACCCTTGCTGAGTCCTGGTTGTGGAAGAGGGACTCTCCTGCTCATTTCCCCATCTCTCCTCTGCGACGCCGGGCGACGCCCAGCGACTCTGCACAACCCACCCGGCTCTGCAGGATCTGCGCGCTTTCTTCAGGAGAGCTGCCATTCTGCATCAGTTCTGAATCCTAGAACCCATTCAGACCCAGCGGCGGGGAAGGAAGGATAAAGAAGCGGCGAATAAAGGGCGGTCCCAGGGCGTGTCGCGTGTGCTAGCCATGTAGCAAAGATGAGGCCCGGGACACCTGCTACCGCTGCTGAGTGACCGCCGGCAGCGCGGAACCAAGAGTTCGCAGCTACCGGGAGAGGCAAAGGGGCGTGGGGGCGTTCCCGAGGGTCGGGGTCCCCGGGGGGCGTGGCCATGGCCGGAAGTGGGGAGCGAAAGGCGCGGGCGCGTTACCTGCAATAAGCGGTGCGATCTCCGTATCCCGTCCCGCCACCAGTCCGCGCGGCCGCCGCCCCGGACTCAGCCGCAGGTCCGCTACCCACGTGATTCGATACGCACGCGTCGGGGTGGAGCCCTCCACTAGGCCCGCCCTCGGCGGCTTAACCGATTGCGCGTGCGCACTGGTTACCGTGACGACCGGGGAAGCGTTGGGTAGCCAACGACGCGAACCATAGTGCTGGAGCTGAGTGGCAGGGCGAGGAGCAAGCATGCACCCAGAGGCCTCAGAGTCGCCGGCGGGCAGAGCGGCGGAACCCAGTCTGGAGGAGTCGGCAGGAGATCACGGCGACGCGGGCCCAGGGGTCCGCAAAGAAGGTGCAGTCGCGTAGGGGAGCCGAGGGGGCAAGGGCTTGTGTGCCTCACATATTCCCATTCACGGAGTTGGGATCAACTAGCACCCCTCACACATGCCCATCCATACAGCTACAAGAACAGTCAGCCAACACGCCTCACACAGACCCATCAACACAGCCCGGAATAGCCAGCATCCCTCAAACATGGTCATCCACATAGCCTAGATCAGCCAGCACCCCACATACATGCCTGCCCACTCACTATTAATGAATGCTAGACCTTTATTAATATTATCAATCCAGAGCATAAAGAACACCAATTATTTATTCCAATGAATATTAATCAGGTACCGCCAGTGTCTGGGAATTGTTGGCAACGAATGTAAGACACAAGTCCCCAAACTGTCCAATGTCATCCAACAGACCCTCCCACAGACAGAGCCATCAGCTCTTGAAGTTACGTTCATTTGAGGCTTCTAGAGAGGTCTTACAGGGTAAAAGTTCTTGCAACACACGCCTGATAATATGAGTTCAAATCACAAAAGTGCATAAATACAAGTGGTTCAAATCTGTATCCCAGCAGTCCTAAAGTTATGTCTGAGGCAGCAACTCTTTGGATAAATTTTACTTCTCCAAATTCTCCACAACACCAGTTTGTTCTTTTTAATTATTTTTTTTTCACATTAAAAAAAAAAGTTCATTGCTGGGCTGTGGTGGCACATACCTTTAATACTAGCACTTGAGAGGCAAAGGCAGGTGGATCTCTGTGAGGTCAAAGCCTGCCTGGTTCACAGAGTGTCCAGGACACCCAAGGCAACACAGAAAGAGGCCAGAGGCATCAGATACCCTGGAAGTGGAGTTACAAGCAGTTATGAGCTGCCATATAGGAGCTGAGAACTGAACTCTCTGGTTCTCGGGAAGAGTAGCAAGCTTTACAAGAACTCTTAATGACTGAGCCATCCCTCTATTCCCTGTATAGCAATCTTTACAAATTATTAATGACTATGTAAATGTCACGTTTGGGCTGATCCTCTATAAAAACATGCACAGAAGAACATAAGAATGTGGGCAGAGATGCTCATTTTTGTGCTGTTTCTAACAGTTGAAACATGTTAGCAATGCACATGTCTTTTAGGGAATGCTTGTAGAGTACAGTGGATTCTTCTGCCTTGAAAATGATGCCCTGAGAGCTTCATCCATCAGTAAGGATCATCCTCAGGAACATGTATGGGTATTTTTTTTAAAAAAGACAAATTCCACAAAAACACAGGATCCCATTTATATAAATCAAAAACATGACAGCCTAGGGTTTTTTTTCCCTTTTGTTTTGGTGTCTCACTATGTAGCCCAGGCTGGCCAAACTCAAAACCCTTCCACAACCTTCCTGAGTGCTGGAATCAGAGGCTGTGATTACCATACTCATCCTAAATTTTTAATCTTTACAAGTTGACTCTTATTTTTACAGAAATCAATGAGGCCAAGGAAACATGTGTGGGTCCTTCTACAATATCGTGCCAAAGTCAGCAGCAGCAGAGTGGTGACAGTGGATTAGATGGTCACTCAGCCTATGCAAGAAATGACAGGGATGACCGGGGCCCCAGGTATGTGTCATACAGCATAGCTACCAAGCTACCAAGGAGGGTGCACAGGCCCTTAGCCCATTGCACAGACAACAGCCGAGGAGCCTGTCCATTTATTACTAGAACAGGATATAAACAGTAGTAGCTTTTGAGAGAGAGAATATGAGGGGGTGTTACTTGTATTTATGTGTGTGTAGGTATCCATGGAGGCCAAAAGAAGGTGTTGGGATCCCTAGAGTTGGAATTACAGAAGGTCTTCTATGAGTTGCTTAAAGTGTACTGAGAACTTGTATCCTCTCCAAGAGTAAGATTGCTGAGCTATCTTACCAGCCCCTGGTGTGAGTGGAGTGAGAGTGAGAGGAAGACTATGGATATGGAAGTGTACAGGCATATTCCCTGGCACATATATGGAGATCAAAAGACATTTTGCAGAAGTACATTTTCTCCTTCAACTGAAGATTCCAGGGAGCAAACTTGGGTCCCTGGCTTTGATTCTACCCACTGAGCCAAATTGTTATTCTCACCCCTACCTCTGCATTAAGACAGGGTCTCACTCTATTGCCCAGTCTGGCTCTCAACCTCATGAACCTCCTGCCATGTTGGCATTACAAATGTTCACATCATGCCTGGTTCACACCAGTTTTGTTGATGACATTTCTATAAGTATTTGTATTAGGCCACACACTGCAGTTTTATTAGAACACTGAAGTAACAGTATTGGGTAAAGAAAGCCCTAAAAGCTATAAATAAAATAAACTTTAAAAAATTCCAAATAATTAAGGGAGGAGATGCTGCTGAGATGGCTCAGATAAGGGTGTAAATTAGAATTCCCAGTGCCCATGGAAACATCCAGACATCTCTGGACATCTGTAATCCCGGTACTGGGGAGGCTGAGACAGAGCAGTCCGGGAGCTGACTGGCCAGCCATTCTACCCAAATCAGCAGGTTTAGTGAGAGACTCTTCTTCAAGAACTATGGCAGATGTGATCACCTCTGGCTTCCATGTGACTTTGCACACACATGAACACACAAGAATACACACACAAACATACCAAAAGAGAAGGGAAGGAGGAAGATTTAACCTGTGGCTTCAGATTTAGGACTTCAGACTGAATAGATGTAGGAAAAAACCTGGGCTTGTGCCATGGCTCACATCTGCAATACCAGCAGGCTGAGGCAAGAGGACCACAAGTTTGAGGCCAGCCTAGGTTGTATAGTGAGGTCCCAGCTGACCTGGGCTACACCCTATCTCAAAACCAAACCAAACCAAGCCAAATACAAACCTTTAAATCTATTTTACAGCTGACAAGCTGAAATGAGCCTCTTGTTTGTGTTTTGCATTTTAACAGGATGACTAAGCAATTCCTTCAAAAGCTCTGCAAGCAACACAAGCTGTACATCACCCCTGCCCTCAATGACACGCTATATTTACACTTTAAGGGTGAGTCCCAGGGGAGCCCATGACCAGTGTCAGGAGGACAAGGTATAAAATGAGCTGCAGAGGTCATCTTTGTGCTAAGATGCGCCTCTAAATAGAACTTCAGCTTGAGGGAGTTCATAAAGGGGCTTTGTGGGTACTGAGTATTGAGGAGCCACCCTTGCTTCTCTGCCTTCCTTCCTTCCTTTTCTTCCTTTCTTCCTTCCTTGCTTCCTTTCTTCCTTCCTTCCTTCCTTCCTTCTTCTTTCTTCTTCTTTTTTTTTTTGTTTTGTTTTTGTTTTTTGTTTTGTTTTCTTCAAGGCAGGGTTTCTTTGTGTAGCCTTGGCTGTCCTGGAACTCACTCCATAGACCAAGCCAGTCTTGAACTCAGAGATTTACTTGTCTCTGCCTCCCAAGTGCTGGCATTAAAGGGATGCACCACCACCACCTGGTCTTTGCTTCTTTGGTTTCTTGATTATTTTTTCCCCTTGCAATATAAAGGATGGAACCCAGGACCTGACTTATGCTAGGCAAGTACACTGCCACTGAAATACAACCCTAGCTCGTCCTCCTTTCCCTTTTTATATTCCAACAAGATTCACCGAATTGCCCAGGCAGCCCTTGAACTCACTTTGTAGCCAGAGGGATCTTGAACTTTACATCTTTCTGCCTCACTCAGCTGAGTAGCAGGCATTACAGGCCTGTGCCACAAGGCACATAACTAATTAATTTAATTTCAATATCTCTCAACAAGCCCCCTACACACACACACTGAAGGTGGGATCTTGCTATTTAGGTCATGCTAGCCTTGAACTTGTGGCCTTCCTGCCACAGTCTGCTGGGTGCTGGCAGTTCAGGCTCCAGTAAGCACAGCTGGCTCAGGACTGAACAATGTTTAAAGCAGTAGGGGTAGTTGTGAATCTTGGGTTTGGAAGGGGTATATTGTGAAGGATGGAAGATTAGGGTAGAAGACAGGGGATGAGGGTCTTTGGTCACCTCAGAATGCAGATGTACTGTGACATCCTGGGGACTTGTGCTTAGTGTCCAGCCCCCATCTGCATCTGAGCTCAGGTTCATAGCCAGGACCATCCTGACCAGTGATGACTAGTATTTCTAGTTTTCAGTTGGGACCCAGCGGAAAGTGGCTGACCTGCTGACCTTTCATCTATTTGTGTATTTGTTCAGGAAATCTTTTCCTGAGAGCCTTCCACGAATGGGACTTTCTCAGTGCTGGGAATCCAGAGGTGGGTGTGGCAAGGATGGTTTAGAGGTCCCGTGGGGTAGGGCAGGCATGAGTGGGCAGCTACAGGGAGGGGGGCATTGTGCCAAGAGGCACACAGGCCGAGCAGCACACAGGTCGCAGGTTTAGAAGGCCTCGGCACCTGTCTCATCGATTCTGCCCCTCTGAAGTCCTCCACCTGGCATCCAAGCATAGCAGTGGTTAGAAGAGCATGTCCTGGGGGAGGGGGAAGGGCAGAGACTTGAGGAGGATGGACAAAGAGGAGCCAGTATGTTAGGCTAAGTTCAGAGAGGGAAAGGAGCCAGGAGAGAGATGCTTACCTTAGTAATATGGTACTTAGTAATAGGTAATAAATCACCCTGAAACTTAGCAACTTCAAATACATTATCTTACACAGGTTCTGAAGAACGGGGGTCTGTTTGTGATTATCTGGGTGGTTCTGGCTCAGGGTCCCTCTTGAGGTATGGTGGAATTGCCAAGTGCCCTCAATTACCTGAACACTAGGCTGGGGGCTAGAGAATGGCTGTGATCCA